TCATTTATTCCATCACTTCTTCGGATTATTTATTTTTAATCAATCTATATTCATGTGAAGTGTAGCTCATCTGCATTTTTCTTTCCCTGGAACCTAAATGTATATTATGAGTTTGAATCCATCAGAAACTAAGTCAGTCAAAATCAAATTTAACTACATACGAAGTGAAAACGATTTGTATTTCGCAAATCAAAGTGATAGTTAAAGCAACCAAACTGTGTCAGAAATGTTCCCAAATTACTAGGTAAGGCTTTTATCAGCTCATCATCTGATCCAATAATTTTAATTGTGGCATTTCATTCGGCATGTCGCCGCACGACTTCTATGATACTCAAAGTCTCACATATATAATTTGAAAGGGGGGGTCTGGGGGGGCGGCGCCCCCTCAGCAGGTAGCTTTTGCTACTTGTTTGCTTTCTAGAATGGGTTTGACGTTTTGAACAACAAATTTTCTCTGAGAACTATTTCAAATTCTATCTTTTTAACCATCTGGCACATCTTCATTTGTTCGGGAATTTTTCCAAAATGGGTCAGGGAGATCAGGAAAATTCAATTTCTAAATCCTACGTCAACTCTGGTTCTTTGTATAAATGATAATTGTCTCTTCGACCCGAGCCTGTTGCTGTCCGTTTACGGTCTGAAAGAAGTCAGCAAGTTGGGGTGTTCCGCCTTTTTATGCCAAATCAATAATATCCATCATTCCTTTTCTTTAGCATTATAAATTGAAACCCTCAGAAATTGACTTGTATTTTTTTACTCGTTTAATTTACTGTGAATAAACTGTTTGTTTTTCTGCAGTGAACAAAATATTTAGTAACCAAGATGCTGTGGAGAAAGCAGTGCGGAATGGACAATGCTTGTATAAAATTTCATCGTACACTTCATTTCCTATGCATGACTTCTACCGCTGTCAAACGTGCAATACCACAGATAGGAACGCGATTTGCGTTAATTGTATCAAAACGTGCCACGCAGGCCATGAAGTAGAATTCATCAGGCATGACCGGTAAGTTTTTTTATGTGTTACTCAAGATTGCAAAATTTATGAGGTGGAAGCACATCGATATCACAAAAGAATAGTTTTTGACTAAATTTATTTGAAAATGGAGTTTTATTTGAAGGTCAAGGATTTGCTGAGTTTTTGGATTTTCTGCCGACTGCTCAGTGCCTAACATATTTCTTGTTTTTCTGGAACTTTTTATTGTTTTATAAGAAATCTGATTTAAATTGCTGAGGGCAAAGTCATGGAAAAAAATTGATTGTGTATATCCCACCTCAAAGTATCAAAATATTTAGTCCTAAGTTCAGCTGTTCAGCTTTTTTTTTTTACCTACTTTTAATTAGCCGGTAGGGTTAATCCCATGCTTGATCTCCCAGTCCCTTGACATTCAGCTACAGGTGACTTTTGCCCGAGACCATCAAACTCCGGTTACCTGACCGGGAATCGATCCCGGGATCTCTAGGTCATAGGGTGAGCGATACAACCACTACCTTACGGAAGGTCGACTCTAATCAAACATGATCAAGCAGAAGATAAATGAGAATTTAATTGGCTTCAGATGTTGATTAGAGTATCCCATTAAAAAGTCAATTTTTCAAAGCTGCCTCCCAAAAAAGAAATCGTAAATAAAATGAGAGCCATAAGGACCTGTCAGTGGAGGACGTGTTCTAAAAATGCTTACGTAAATGAATTATTATCATAGACTGAACTCTGTTTTTCAAAACTTCCTCTGTAAATAGACATATTTTAATTACTGGCAATCAGTTTCTCACTTTACATTCATTCGAAGGTGATTGAGTGTTGAGGGAACATGGAGGCTCAAAAAGAAAGAAAAATCAATCTGAAAATCCAAGTTTGAGTCCTATTTCACCCAAGACGAAAACCTAAAAACATCCTTTCTGTAACTAATCTCACAGTATATTTTGGTTTATGATTTCTTTTCGCTTCACCTCACAGACCATTTTTATGTTAGTAAATTAAAGCGCAATTTCTCAATCAACAAATGGGTCTTGATCCTGAATCAGAATAAAATGGGGAGCGATACTGCTTTTCAATTGTCTATCTCTAAACAATTAAACCTGTGCATTCCTTCTATAAGAACATATATTTACTTAAATGCCAAGATAGTCAGCAGTTCAAATCATCCTTTTTTTTTTTCACATTCCTCGCACATGGAAAAAGGAGCATTTTCCTTAACTGAAAAATAAAATGTAAAAATCGACGGTGCAAGTCCGCAATCACATAACTCATTTGCGGTATCTGAAAATCTCTGCCTCTATGTTAATTTTTTAAGAGAGAACAAATTGACATCATTCCTTGAAGTTTTTGCAGAATTTTCTTCGCATAGAGAAGAAAAATCACTGCAATTTTAAAGAATGGCCGTTGAGTAGTTTTCCGTTTAAAAAATAAAGTATGATAGGAAGTCTGCGACGTCGCAAATTGAGTTATGTGATTGCCGACTCACACCGTCGATATTTACTTAAATGCTAAGATAGCCAGCAGTTCGAATCATCCTTTTTTTTTCACATTCCTCGCATATGGAAAAAGGAGCATTTTCCTTAACTGAAAAATAAAATGTAAAAATATGTAACCCTGAAAGCATCGCAGTGAAGCTGGGAAGTTGATAAATGTTTGTGCGAATTTCCAGATTTTTCTGTGATTGTGGAGCGGGAACGCTGAGTAACCAATGCCAGCTCCAAGGTGAGCCCACTCAAGACACGGACACTCTCTATGACTCCGCCGCTCCGATGGAATCCCACACATTAATGGTGAATTGAAAGCCCCAAGTTGACCGTCGCTCGCTCGAAACCTCTTTTAGTCTTCACCTTGTGCCAACACTTGCGCAGACCCACCTCTGCGCGTTAGTTTTTAATTAATTGTTTTTGTTTCTCAACATTTTGCTCATCGATTTTCATCAGTTTTTTTTTTTATCACCATCAATGCGTGTTTATTTTTCTTGATTTTTGTGTCTAGTTATATTTCTTTCAAATTGATTTCGTGTGTATCATATTCACGTCGCACCACGGTGCGGCGGACTCTGTTGTACATACCTGTACATTAGCACTTAGCGTACCCTACGTGTCTAAAACTCTTTAAACTGCAAAAGATTTTGTACAAAGTTGAATTTTTGAAATGCTTTGGAACTGATATTGGTTTTGTATTCTCTCCACTGAAAAATGTCTCACTTGCTGTAAATAAGTTTGTTTTTGTCCAAATTTGCAATATTCCGTTTGAGTTTGAGATCGTTTGACTTCATTTTATGTGCAGTCTCCCTGAACGAAGGTGTTAGGTTATCAATGATGCACTCTCTCAGAAACTTGGTTTCACTTTGACAACAGTACCAGAAGCCTCTTTAAAGTATTCAAAATTGAAACTACGCCATTAGATTTGATGGGTATTTTTGCCTCTTGTTTTGTTTTTCTTTTGTTGTTTAAAATATCTGTTAGATTCAGATAAAAAATTCAATCTACACTCATTGGAACTGAGGCCAGCCAGTTAACCCTTTGTTGTTTGCATATTATATGGACTACCTATCTTTCCCAGAGAATTGGAAAAAAAAAAAAAAAAAAAAAAAAAATAACATATTAGCAAAATTTTTAGAAAATGAAACCAGACCACTCCAAGTTTCTAGGAACGGTGAGATCTTCTCTTCTTCTTTCCTTTCCAGAGCCTGCAACTACTATTGTTACATACAAAATTTCGTAAACCTGAGAGTTTCACTAAGAAGAAAGAGAGGGAAATCTGATTTTATACCATTCCCTGCGAATTACTACTGCTGGATTTTTGTCAAATACAAGTTAATAACAGTAACGCATTTTATTGTATTAAATGGAAAATTAAATGTCTTTTTAAAGTAAAGTTCCTTAGAAATGCACTACAACGCTGTTTTAAAGATATGCCATTTTACCTCTTACTTGACTCGACAAAAATAGCAAAGTTTACATTTTGTTCTGGAAGATCTTAGTAATTCTTTTTAGACATCCCATGCATGAATATGATTAGTTGAAAGTTAGAGATGTTCCTCTGATTTTTTTCCTTTTTGCAAGATGATGATGTCAGTCCTTAAAATTTCCTTTAGGAAACTTTCCTCAGTGATGTTCAGAGTTTTGCAGAAACATTTAATCCTGGTTGTTTTCTATCTTGGTGACTTGTATGAAAAAACGAGCGCTGAATCGACGGAATTTTTTGAGGGATGCTGTACTTTAACTCTTCTTTAATTAGTTGCAATTTTAAGATGAAAACTTTTTAGGTGCAATATAGTGTAAATTTATGTAGTTGTTATTTTTGAGTGTTCAAGAATGTGCTTCAATTTTGTGCATGATGACACCACTGTTTACTCTTTGCTTTGTTTTGTTTTTCCACTTCTATTCTAGTGTAAAAGGAAAGATAATTAAAAATGATAAATAAATTGTTTTGGACTGAAATCGAAAGTATTGATCAAATTCTTGATTGTAAATTGGTAAAGTGATATGAAAATTTCAAAATTGGATGTGTTAAGATGAATGATATATTTTTAGGAAAAGGAATGTTAGTTTTGTTTTTCTTTGGCTCGTGAGGTTGGGACTTGATTCTTCTTACTCGTTTTTCAAACTGCATGTTATTATCATTCATCTCATTCATGTAAATTTAATTACGCTATCCTTTTCTGTTCTCCTCGTTCTTTTTTGTTAAGATGCTCATGAAGCTTATATCATGAGTGTTGTAAGTTGAACCAAAGTTCTCAATTCCTATGAACTGCAATTTTTCGTTCCCAAGCAAGTTTAGTTTTAGATGACTTCATTCTATTGGATTCTTAGGAAATGATTGAGGATACGTATAAAAGTATGAAAAATAAGATTGAAATCGAATAAAAGTTTTCCATTTATTACTGGACCATTGAATAATTAAAATCATTGTAGTTATTGGTCGGTTACATTTGTTCTGGAATTTTTGTTGTTTTTTGAATGTTCAATGTTCAATATTCAGTTATCGAAAATTCAAAATACAATAATGCAAGTCTTGTAAACTGGGCACACCTGTACGAATAATATAGTCTATCTCTACTAGAATTTTCCAAAAAGATGTATGTGCAATAAAGTGGGACAAGTAATTTACAGGCTGTAAGAATGAACACCGAATCGGAAGAGGATTTGTGTGGCAATGATGGCATAGAGATGGCAAGAGACTAGATGTAAGTAAAAACTTCTCAAGATTTGATTAGAAGCTAAAGTCTGTCAAGGGTTTTAAATACTTTGCAGAAGTGTCCTAAATTCCTTCCTAGAGTTTGTGCTTGATTGAATCTTCAGAGGTGTTAGCCATTGTAAAAATCAGGCCACCTCACTGATTTTCTTTCCCCTTGTCTGAGCCCTACCTGATACCTGCTACCAAAAGCATGTCATTACACTTATCTCTTTTTTTAAAATTTGTGATAAAGATAGACTTTCTGATGTATTCTTTTTGTCCTGAGTTGTTATGATTTTTTGGTGAAGGATTATTGAATGTCAACAAGGCTAAAAACCTAGGAAAACTGGAAAAAGTTAAAAGAACATGGTTATCCCAAAAATGTCATCAAATTACCTAGGTAAAATTGGAATTTTACCTTTTCACTCAGTTTTTTCCCATCTTTTGCATTTTCCCCACTGCAGAAATCAATATCATTGGAAGATATTAACTCTGATGAGAAGACAGGTAACCTGATGGCCAAGACAGGTAACCTGAGGGCCAAGACAGGTAACCTGAGGGCCAAGACAGGTAACCTGAGGGCCAATTAATTTCAAGATTAATGTTAGATTGTTTCTTTTGAACTTATTTCATTCAATCAATGGAGGAATCATCGAATATCTTTTTTATTTTGCGGTGGGAAATGGTAAATCCCCCCCCCCCCCCAAGTCAGTAGATGTCCTGGCTTTGAACTAACACACTTGGACCGTACTGTTTGTCCGAATAATTTCCTTGTTGAATTCATTTTCTCATCATGCAGTTGTTTTCCTCCGCATAAGGACTTTTGAAATATCTCATTCATGAGAAATAAGACATATTATAATTGTTTATTCAGACATAATTAAGAATCAAAATATCAGTAAATCAGTCGGAGAAATCTCAGTTTGACTTTTTCTCGTTTACTCTTCGCCTTGTCTCAATCATGCCCAAAATTTCAAATTTTTATCTCTGCTCCTGTTTTCTGTAGTCTTCAAAATCTATTCTGTACAATATGCACATCGTGTGTAAAGTGTGTCATGCATATTTTGAATTGAAACACAACGTGCCAGAATGTCATTGTAAGAAAATCGTGCCTAGGAGGTGATTTTTGTTTAAAATGAAGCACCAATTTTTATATTTTTCGCTTAAAGCAATTTTTTGTGAACAAGATCAGTGCCCAATCGTAGTTAAGAAAAGTAAGGAGGAAGTTTCACTTTTGTCTTTGTCTTCGCAAACCGTGCTACATGTTTTAACAAAATGTTCTTAACTTTGTAGAGCATACGAAATTCATCACTGCGTGTTTTTGTGAAGTTTTCAACCACTGTGTCTGACTACGCAACTGCATGCTAGCTCATCAAACATTGAAACAGGGTCAGACAGCCTCTGGAAGAAGTGGCAGTGTTTTTGCAGACCTGTCCGTAACAGTTTTAAATAAGTCGATCAATTGCCTATATTGTCGGTGAATTCGAACCAAAGTATCTTGAGATGCAACTTTACTAAACTGCTTCTGTTTTTACATTTTATTTTATGGAAAGAATGAATCAGTATTATTTTTATTTCTTTTGTATGGATTTTCTTTCCCCCTCAAAAATATTTTTTACAAATGTATGTGTTAATGTTGGTTGGTTTTCTTTCAGGAAAATACGAAGTGGGAAGAAATTTTGAATTATCCTCATGAAAAAACATCATTTTATTAATATACTACATTTTTTTTTTTCTTTTAAATGCTTGCACTTTGCACTCCTCTTTGTCAGCAGTGTGCATTCATAATCAAGGAAAGACAAGGCACTCACCGAATCACTCTTAAGTTCTATGAATTTTTGGCTCACTGTTCAAAGCGTACCAAAACCAATGAATTTTTCCCTTGGATGCCGTCGTGAAATACGTGATCCTAGAAAGAGCAGTTTTAAGAACTTCTGTTTTCCGTAGTTTGGCGTCCGTCATTAAAATAAGCCCATCAAAATGGGTCATCAATGCAACTGTTGAGTGTTGTCGATCAAAATTTAGAGGTGCCTCTAGTGTTCGATCAACATTATTCCCAAGCAGAGTATCAAAAGATTTTTATTTGATGCTCTGTTCAGGATACATGTTGATCAAAAAGTAGGGGCGTCTCTTGATTCTGACTGACAACATTCAACAGTCACATCACTGACCCATTTTGACGCACTCATTCCCCAGGAGAAAGCCAAGCTTACCTAAAAAATCTGCAAATTTTTTTGAGCTTACCTTTCAACTGAAAGGTGCGCCTTTTATTCATATGAACTTTTCTAGGTTTTTTTCCTAGTAGCATCTCAAGAACATTAAGTGGTATTTTAGGCCTCTCTATTTTTTCTAACTAAGAATGGCTGTCTGACCCTTGTCAACTTCACAAATTTCACTTGGTCTTAGATCATTATTTCGAGCATTTTCAAAGCAAAAACTGATAACTTCAAGTGTAACTTTTTGTAATAAATGTATCATTACTGTCTCTGTCATCATTATTTATATGAAAAACTGTAAATATGTAGTTTAATCAAACTTCATTGTATGTACTAAGAATTTTTTTCCGGAATTTAATGCTTAGCTATTTTGTGTTTCATATCGTTTTTTTCACAAATTAAAATTATTTATTGTTTCCGTCTTTTGTCGGTTGTTTTAATCTCAACTTTTCTCCTTTGATGATAAAATTTAATTCAACAGTTTTAAAAATGACAAAAACTGCACCATATGGATGTTGCTACTTTTCTGGCAGTTTTTCTTCTAGATTAGAAATTAAATCTCACCTTTACATTTTTTCCTGGGTTGGAACAGTTGAAAGTACACAAAGTAAAAATTAGTAGGAACGTTTCGGATGAATCATGTTTCTGTTTTACTTTGAAATTCGATGATGTTTTGCAGGGTTTTTGTGTGCTGGGGCTGCTGGGTGCATCCGAAATATTATTATTTTTTACTTCTAAGTACATGAAATCTACATGGATGAAGAGTTCAAATCAAAGTATTCACCAATCATGTTCCTACCAATTTAAGAACCAGAAAATATTAGCTCTACCCAATTGTGGAAAGAATTAAGGATATTTAAGAACATATTGATGGTTCAAGTCGAGAAGTGTGTACCTCAGATTGGAATGTTGTACCTAAATCTCCGCTCATTTTTTTTTTAATCGGATTACTGATCAGCATCAGTTCCTTTTCAAATTTTCTGTAAAATTTCTTCCCCTATTCTAAAAAAGTACGCAATATTACAAGAAATCATTTTGATAAGATGTCCTTGACAGTGTTCTATCTCGCCCAAGTGCCACGGCCCAAAAGATTGGGGAAACAGGGCCATCATGGTGCCTCAAAAAGTTGATGCATCCCACTGATTTTTTCAAACTCGCCATTTCATGGGCCATGCTGCATTTACGAAAAGTCTGCCTCCTATTAAATTGTAGATTGCTTGTAAAATTTTAGGAGGTTAGTGAAACCCTCCTCTCTGAGGGAAGTAAATATTTTTCTATGTTGCAACTGAAATACGCATTTAGCCATTGATATTTTAAAAAATCTAGTACCAAGAAAATCCAAATAAACTTCTTATGAACTAAGGATGAGTATCTCATAGGAGCAGAAAATAATGTGAACAAATTTTAGATCATTTGAAGCTTGTAACCTTTCATTGACAATGAGATTACGAAAACACATTTTGATTGCTGTGTCGCCAAATCTTTATCCTTGCCTCAAGTACTTTTTCGAACGAGTGTACAATGTTACAGCTCAACATTTTCGGAGGATAGCCTCATTAAGAGGGTCGAGCTATAGGTATCCTTTGAAATTTTCCGCATTAATGAGGTCATTGGCCCGCCTCCTCAGTATTAATTCATTCATTTCTAAAATGAGGGGCTTGGAGGACAAGGGGCATAAGTGCAGCCTTACCCATTTTGAGAAATGCGTGTTTGAAGTTTAGAAAGTAGATGGATCCTTATGGCGGAAAGAAAATTCGAACTGACTTTTGGATGCTTAAAAAAAGGAATTCAGGAAACTTTTCACAGATTATGCACTAAAACTAGTTTTACTTTAGGTAAATCATGAATATCTCATTTTTTTCAACAACTGCACTTATATGCGCCTTGTCCTCCAAGCCCCTCAGATGGCTTAAATTTTGGAAAACTTTGGAGCCTCAGTTTTCTATCACCATTAATTACAACTTTCATCAATTCCAAGACAGTTGTCTTGTTGTTATAGGCGAATCCAAGGGGGGGGGGGTTGCGGG